GTGACAGGACTTTTCTCTTGTTTGTAAACAAACGCGCTTTTTCAGCAATCAGAATAGTACGGACCAATGCAAGTATTTAGGGACGCTTTACATATTGATTTGCATAATTATATAGGTATGCTACTACAACTGCGGCAGTGAGTTGCATGACAATACATATTTACACATCAAAGTGGCCGTATCGCTAGCTCTCCGTAGGGCTTCGACGATAGCACGTGGAGCCGTACAACCAACGTAAACATAGGATAACTACGCAAACGGAAATAGTTTTTCACGATTTCGAATATTTGCTCAATGAAAGTAAACCATTCTGTGACATGTGTTATCTAGATGTGTAGACTTGTCAAAAATGAAACAGATGAAAAACATATGCAATATTTTGAATGGACTGAGCAAGATGTGACGAATCGTAACATGGCGCGTGCCAGTGGCAGAGGTACTATGCTGGTCGCATGGAACTCTGGGTAGGAGAGTGAGACGCGTGGGTGATCAGGTAATAGTGCTGATAATTAATGTCTGGGCCAGGTGAACAGGTGGGTGACATGAGCAAGATGCACAATATGAGGTAGGATGGCACACAATGAGCCAGGTCACACATTGTGACCATCTAATCCACATTTGGTCACTCTCACGACAAGCATGGTGTAGCGGGGAACTACTTTTTATCTCCATTTGGGCGTCGCGAGACACATGGGGTGTTCGTATGGAAGTAATAACGCAATACACGTTTTTAATTTCTTGCACACACACACACACACACACACACACACACACACACACACACACAAACACACACACACACACACACACACACACACACACAAACACACCCATAGTCCTGCACCATGACCGTGGAATATATGTTTTTATGAAAAAAAATAATCTATAAATACATACAAAAGCAAGTCTAGCCAGCTCAAGCTAGCTCTATTCTGAAATCAGCATAGGGAAATCCTCTTTAATTTTTAGAGTCAAGAAGGATATTGTGTGATATAAGATTTCAGAGACTAAATGTTTGTCTAACACACACACACATCTGTGTAACATATGTTATTAACATGGAATGTACATCACTTTGCAACCATATGTGTAACTGTGTGTAAGGGAAGGACACAGCAAGTGATTCACTTCAATATGTTGCAATCAACATTGAAATTAGAGTTACGTCCCTTGTTGTGGCACCTGCCCGGCAAGTTTTCCGGTGATAAAGTCTTCCAAACAAGGTGAACATATTTTTACAGACATACGCGGATGTTTATGAATGGATACATTTTCCAATTTCATGTTTGGGACATGATAAAAAGGTTAACATTGGGCAGTTTTCATATTATACCCCATATCAACCCTCGAACCCCATACCAGCCCTCTGGCCTGTACAAGTAACGCCAACCCGTGAGAATCGAATAGGTCTTCAGCAACCCATGCTTGCAGTAAAAGGCGACAATACTTGTCGTAAGAAGCGACTAACGGGATCGGGTGGTCAGGCTCGCTGACTTGCTTGATGCATGTCATCGTATCCCAATTGCGGGGATCGATGCTCATGATGTCAATAACTGGATTGTCTGGTCCGGACTCGATTATTGACAGACCGCCGTCATATAGCTTGAATATTGCTGAGTGCGGCGTTAAACAACAAACAAACAAAACAAGTAACGCCAAAAACATCGTGCTAAAGTACATTTGGATTGGGTTTACTGTCTTGACCATAAAGATAAATATATACTGAGACTGTGTGATCGTATAACTGCCTGTGCCGGAGTTTTCATTAAAATATGACGTGACTGAGGAGTGGATGGTGTACACATTCTCGGATAGCATTGCACTCAATGTATTTCTATAGGGATGGGTGTTTGATAGTACATACGCATACAATTTTATTATCTAAATCAGAATTTAAGATTTCTGTGGTTAGCTTGTCATACAGAACTTGAAACATAAAATTGTCAAAAAAGCCCGAGCAAGTCTATAACAGTTTGGCAAGTCTAGAAATGTTCTTGAGTTCCTTCTCTGGGATCCTTTCTGTTATATTTATGAGACAATTTAACAATTGTGAGCAACCATGAGATAAGGGACCTTATGGGTAAAAAATCACATTTTGAATTTTTATTATATTTTAAAACTACAGCATCTTCGGAACACAAATATGTTATTCACAAACTTCAATTCATATTTATTACAGAGATACATGACATCACACATGGCGATCTTCAATGAAGTAAGTTGACGTCTAACGTTTTATGACGTCATAGCACAATTATATCCAAGCACCCATAAGGTCTCTTTTCTCCTGGTGTGTGGTGACACTTGTGTTCTGAAAAGGTTATCTTTTCAGTTTAGGATTTTTGATAGAAAGCTGGAGAATTTTTTTTTTTTTTTTTTTTTTTTTACATACTCTTGTTACATACTGTTATTTGGATATCCAGCATGTCTAGTGACCTTTTTTTTTTATGAAAAAAATGAGGCAAAATGTAGATGTCGTTGGCCATTAACAAGCCCCTCATTTCACCACCAACACTCGATGTAGTTTCAGTGTTGCGGCATTAAACAACATGGTTTAAATCACCAAAGAGAATTGACGCTACATGTTGTTCTCGTGTGAGTATTTCTCTTTAATTGCCGAAACACGCAACAAGATAACTTTCATCCAGAGGAGGGGAGCACAGGTGGCCCAGTCGTCTAAGGGGCTGCGATTCGCTGTGCAGAGTTGCGTCCCTTGGGCATGCCAGAAACCTATGATTGTGGGTTCGAATCCCGGTTCGCCCCGATTATGTTTCTAGGTTTGTCAGCACCATACCCGTGCTCGTGGGTTTCACCGAAGTGGTAAACGTCTGAGACCTGCATCACTTCGGGCTTTCCTCCCACATTAAGCTGACACGCCGTGATATGACTGGAATAATGTTAAAAGCGGCGTTAAACCCAACTCACTCACTCATCCAGAGGATCAACACGGTGCAAAGGTATTTCGTAGCATATCTACGTATTGCTGTAAGTACCTATACTGTCATGAAGCGCACACGTGTAACCCAGAAGGTGAAACAATTTGTTATTTTCATGTGGCACCTTCAGAATCAGGAGTGAGAATATGACACATTTCAGTTTAAATATTGATGTAATATAAAAGTGGAAAACAAACACATTATGGAAACAAAACTAGTAACGTGTTTTCACAACAATGACTTCCTGAAAACCACAACAAATAATGCACGGCGCCTGGTGCCGAGCAATAAAGGTCATGTTTGTTGTTTAACGGCGGTCTGAAAATAATCGAGTCTGGACCAGATAATCCAGTGATTGACATCATGAGCATCGATCTACGCAAATGGGGGACGATGACATGCATCAACCAAGTCAGCGAGCCTTACCACCCGAACCCGTTAGTCGCCTCTTAGGAAAAGAATGCGGGATTCTGAAAACCATTCTAACCAGGATGCTTACGTAAACACCAAAAATGTAGTAATATTAACTAGGTTACCGCCTATTGCTCACTAGGAATATTGTAATCGACACAGCATTGTGTCACTTGCCACAACCGACCAATTCATGTGGTCATGCTCAAAGTCTTCGTATCCTGTCAACGTGAGACGTTGTTCGTGCTATCCACCACTGGATTACAAGGTCGAGACTCGATATTTAATAGTGGATTGACGTACACTTTGTGTGAGTTCATTGGAGTATGAAGCTTCATAGAGTGAAGACCAAACTGTATGAGGTCGGAGCTTGTGAGTTTGGCCCTCACAAAGTGAAAGTCAAATCTTATAATATTTTTGGGGCGGTCGGGTAGCCTAGTGGTTAAAGCGTTCGCTCGTCACGCCGAAGACCCGGGTTCGATTCCCGACATGGGTACAATGTGTGAAGCCAATTTCTGATGTCACCCTGATATTGCTGGAATATTGCTAAAAGCGGCGTAAAACCATACTCACTCACTCACTATAATATTTTATATCACAAGTTTATACCTCGAGGGATGCAGCGCTAGATCTATACGTGTGACTTATTGTTTACACTGACAGACAAACAACAAGAAGCTGTATCTCGGAATAAATTAGTTCCCCCAAAAGAGAGGTTACATGAGCGTATGTATGCACAGCTTGCTTTACAGGAACATCTGTTGGAATTTGTTTACAATTAGTGTATTCAAATAGTATCATTTTTGAGTGTGAGAGGGTTATGTTAAGAACTATCTCAGTAAGTCAGTCACAATGACAACGCGTCGTAATACATTTACATCAAGTACAAGACGTCAAAATGGCCGACACGATAAACGTGACTGGAGAGATTTCCGAAGTTGTTGTCTAACCCGTGGCGGTTACATGTGTTAATCATCATTTATCAGTTGGCCGATCATTGAAAGGTGATAAAAAAATGTGTCAAATAGATACGAAGGTAAATTCATAGATTGCTGTAGACTGTGACGGTCATTCTAGAAACGGATCGAGTCCATACTATAATAGTTGATGTGTATTTCTACGTTTTGTTCACTAGGATGGGTCGTACCGAGGATATTCGTGAACGATCATGCAGTCAAACTCTCTGACGTTTCTCAATGTATGCTAAAACCCTGAGTTCAAGAATAACGGGTCTAAATGATCAGAAATAACACTTATGTAGGTGTATGTTCAAAGGAATTCCCAAGGATTTCCCCAGGGATGTGTAATTTATGGAAGTAGCCCGTCAGTGTTTACGTCATTTCCAGATAACAGTCTCGTAAAAACTATAAACGTCAAATGGTGTTGTTCACACGCTTATGAACGTGATCAACTTTGGAAAAAAACGTATATCATGTAAACATCAAATTAAAAAAATATAGGCCGTTTAGACTGCTGCAATATCAACACACCTGTGGAATTTTGTCCCGAGAGAAGACGAGAGAAATATCAACGTCAGTCACTCGAATTGTCACGCCAGCGACAGGAAGCGCCATTAGAGTAGCGGCAGTCCGTCCCAACGTGGTCGGACTATACAGAGCGTCCCAGTCAATCAGCACTTTGTTTGCACAGGACACAAGTCAGTGTCACCCTCTTCGCGCACTACGTACCTATCCGCAACGGTTCGGCGACCTGGGCACGAAATAAGCAGGGCAAGCCCGCTTATCGCATGCTGCTAAATTTCGACCGAATCACATTCTCTTGTGTTTACACCAGCGAGCAAGTACGAATCTGGCCCCGGAGGAGCCTACCAGTACGTTGCTGACCATCGGACAGGGATATTTTTACTTGTGGGAGTCATTCGAATAGACAATGGTGACCATCGGTTCGCCTGTCAAGTTGACCAACAAGTTTTCATCCATGTTGCACTCGGCCGTTCATCACCATCACAAGGATAAAGGTAACACGAAGTTTCTTGTAATATTTATTTGTTTTATGAAAACTATTTGTACGCTGGAGTCCGTATTTCGACTTTAAAAAAAACTAGTTGAGATGTGTATGGGTTGGTTGTACTTTTCATCCACTTTGGAACGCCCTCTGCTGGGATGGGCAGGGATGATGTTTACGGTTTAATGTACGGTGTGGTAATTTTGTTGACATTGGCCGAACGATAGCATAAGTATTCCACTCAAAAGAAGTTAAGGACCACCTAGTCTTTCATACTATTATAGTTGATCAGGCATGGCATATTAACTATAGTAATGTGAAAGAATCGGGTGGTCCATAACTTATTTTGAGGAGTATATTTTAGCAAGCCTTACAGAAGTGGGGCATTCTCTCTTGTGGTTGACATCCTGTATAATGGGGCGGTCGGGTAGCCTAGTGGTTGAAGCGTTCGCTCGTCACGCCGAAAACCCGGGTTCGATTCACGACATGGGTACAATGTGTGAGGCCCATTTCTGGTACTCTGCCGTGATATTGCTGGAATATTGCTAAAAGCGGCGTAAAATCAAACTCACTCACTCACTCACTCATTCCACTAGGAAAATATGGTAGGCTTAAAAGGTTAAGCATATCAATCCAGGTACACCAACATTCGTGGTCAAGATGTGGTCAGTCACAGGGCACGGTCATCGCTGAGGTCAGGGGTCGTGAAGGTCAGGTGTGATGTGGACCGAGTTTGATGGTAGGCTTGGCGTGCTGGATGGTGGGGGTTAGGGGAATTCCGACTGGGATAGATAGGTGGGAAGGTACGATGGAGGAATACACTTAAAAACAATAACAGAAGAAAAAACAATTTTCAGTCATTTTTCCAATAACATGTATAATTTGTTACCTTCGTATGATATACCACTGATGGCCAAGGTCCCGCTACGCGCTGAGCAGAGTTGTGTCCCTTGGAGTGGTTTCGATGATCGTGGGTTCGAATCCCAGATTCGCACGCATTCTGGTGCTTGATTTGTCAGCACCTCACCCGTGCTCGTGGGTTTCACCAAGAAACTCTGGTGTCCTCCGTCGTGATATTGCTGGAATATTGCTAAAAGCGGCGTAAAACCATACTCACTCACCAAGAAACGGCTAGGACCTGCATCACTTGGGCGTTTCCCATTTTAAGCTGATAATTAGCGTGTACTCTCTCATTCACTCACTCACTGTCATTTGGTGTTCCTGATTTAAACAATACCAGGTCACATGACTACAACTTCAATGACGGCACACCCTCATCACGTGACATCATTCCCAAACTAAAATAGCTTGGTCTTTTTGACGTGAAAACCTCGGTATCGTTTCAACGTCCCCTCACTTTTAATCACTGTCTATAGTTAATATTGACTTTTTACTTCAAGTTACGCAGTCTGCAAACAGTTGACAACCAATTCATCACACCTGTGCTTTCAAATGACTCTAAATATGTGATAATTACTTTACTGCCAACTGTTCAAATTGAGTAACAGAGTTGTGTCCCTTGGGCACGCCAGAAACCTATGATTGTGGGTTAGACGGTTCGCCCCGATTATGTTTCTAGGTTTGGCAGCTCCATACCCGTGCTCGTGGGTGTCACCGAAGTGGTAAACGTCTGAGACCGGCATCACTTCGGGCTTTCCCCCCACATTAAGCTGACACGCCGTGATATAACTGGAATACTGTTAAAAGCGGCGTTAAACCCAACTCACTCACTCACTCAAATTGAGAAAGGCACAAGTTACATACACGAGTGCCTCATAAATTTACCGTTGAACTATAGAAACACGCGTTCGTGACCAACTTTAACAATGATAACAGTAATATTTGAAATCTGCAGTGTCAGAGATAGGGAGACCAGTCCATGCAAGCTTTCCTATGCATTCAGGCCATCGACAACGTCCGTGATAACACATGTATGTCAGCCATGATAGTCGTTGCAGTGACGTTGCTGGCCCCGATGCAGCTGTATTCACGATGTATTCGAAGAGGTTGCGATGTATTCGCAGAGCCCTGATGTATTCACCCTTTAGGGATTCCAGTTCGAACAGATACCCATAACCTAACGCGCGTCACGAGAACCCCAACCACAACAGGGATCGGGTGGTCTGGCTCGCTGACTTGGTTGATGCATGTCATCGTGTCCTAATTGCGGAGATCGATGCTCGTGTTGTCAATCACTGAATTGTCTGGCCCAGACTTGATTATTGACAGACCACCATCATATAGCTGAATATTGAGTGCGGCGTAAACCAACATACAAACAATGGGGATCGGGTGGTAACGCTCTGTGCCTTGGATGCATTTATATGTCATCGTGGATCGATCCACGCAATTGGGATACGATGACATGCATCAACCAAGTCAGCGAGCCTGACCACCCGATCCCGTTAGTCGCCTCTTACGACACCCAAGAACCAAATAAAACAGGTTCTAAAGAAATATAACAAGAGAGGTCTAGCTACCGCGTAGGTAATGATATTTCGGGTTAGTTTCCACGCTGGCTTGCCGCAATATCATTTTAGTAATCACAATAAACTCCACGTATAAAGGTATGTTACGATTCGAAGGAAGCTGCGCGTTTTCCTTAAAATGGCCAATGTAACAGTTTGGTAACGATTGAACGAATGCATAAAACATGTTCTCCTTGTCGACTGAATATGTACACAGATGGCTGATGTCAACACGATAGGATTGTTCAGGAGAAACTCGGTAACGTGAAATATACATGTATCGATATGCGCGTGCTGGACACAGCTGGTTGTCAATCAAACGTGCCAAGTGTCTCATGATTGCCGAAGAAGATCGATGGTTCTTGAAATAGACACTGACGACTGAGCAAGTCACGATGTCATTTCTTAATGACCATAGCACCTAATTACACACGCGCATGAGTCACGTCATTATTTTCCATATATATATATATATATATATATACACACACACACACACACACACACACACACTGCCAACTTCATCAAATATATGTTGAGTGTGTAGTTTTACGCAATTAAATAATATTCCAACAATACCTATGCAGGGGACTCTAGATAGTTATATTGATATATGTAAGCTCAGAACGGCATGTACTGGTTTTTTTGTTTTTTTGTTGCCACACTCGGCAATATTCCAGCTATATGACAGCGGTCATATACAATCGAACCTGGACCAGACAGTCCAGTTATTGATATCATAAAGCATCGATCCACGGAATTGAGATACGATGACTTGCATCAACCAAGTCAGCAAGCTTGACAACCCGAACCCGTTAGTCGCTTCTTACGACAAGCATAGTCGCCTTTTACGGCAAGCATTGGTTGCTGAAGACCTATTCAAACCCAAAACTAAACAATTTGCCTTATCTTTACGTGTCATAGTACCCCGATTGCGTAGATCAATACCCAAGCTTTAGGTCAGTGGTTTGTAAAATCCAGACCTATTGTCACTATGTAGCTTGACACCTGCAGGCTGCGGCGTTAAACAACATTCACTCACAAACGTACGCTCTTAATAAACACGATGTTATTAGGCACCAAATCCCCGGACACGCTTCCCTCAGACAGGTGGCTATGTCACAGTGTAAACATGTTTGTAAACAGGGAAACAAAAGCCATATTGAGTTACGCGTATCATTTACAGCTAAACAACAGGGAACAGTTTACCACAGCTAGAAATCGACGTACCATAACAATGGCTTGGAGTCTGTCATGTTTGCCCCTGGACAGATAAAAAACTGTTTACCCAAACTAGACTTACATCTAGTCTCTGAAATGAACATATTTTACAGAAAAAACAGTTATTATAAACAAATTATAATGACAATATATATGACAAAATATAAGAAAAAGGAGCCCAGAGACTTTCTTCATTTTCAGAAACGGATACTGCAGTAACAGACTTGCCAAACATTATAGACTTGCACGGGCTGTATTGGATATACTTGTTTCAGGGTCTGTATGAAAGACTACCAAAATAGGAAATAGGCTTCAACCATTTTTTAGAATGCGGAGATGTCGCGTAATACCAACGTCCATGTCCTTGCGCTCGCCAGGACAGTTTACATGTTTTCGCTCATTGGATCGAATTTCGCCTTGCCTTTGAAAAGTCGGAGTCACCATGACTGCTTGCATATGTCTTAAGCAGTAGGGAACACGGGTGGCCAAGTCGTCTAAGGCGCTGCAATTCGCGGTGCAGAGACGCGTCCCTTGGGCACGCCAGATACCTATGGTTCTAGGTTTGAATCCTGGTTCGCCCCGATTATGTTTCTAGGTTTGTCAGCACCATGTCCGTGCTCGTGGGTTTCACCGAAGTGGTAAACGTCTGAGACCTGCATCACTTCGGGCTTTCCTCCCACATTAAGCTGACACGCCGTGATATAACTGGAATGCTGTTCAAATCGGCGTTAAACCAAACTCATTCACTCCCAAGTGAGTATGGCTTTACGCCGCTTTCAGCAATATCAGGGATCGAACCTGGCGTGACGAGCGAACGCTTTAACCACTAGGCTAACCCACACCGCCTTTTATGTTTTAAGGCCCTGGGCACAATACTGGGATTTTTGCTAGAGTTTGACATTTAGTGCCCCTAATATTCATATCCCAAAAATAATATGTTTTTTGTTTGTATTTGTAACAATGAAACAAATATACCATTGTATATTCTCTTGGATTGTTTTAGTCTGAATTTGTACTGACTAAATGTGTTGCGTCAAATGTAGTAGCCAAATGTAACCCAAATGATGTAACATATATATATATGTGGTAATATCGTCATACATTCGGGGCCAACTCGTGTTATTCCGGGACAAGCCGAATAGCACTCGTGCCCTTCTCATGACCATTTTTGCGACCGGGTTCCGTCTTAGCGCAAACGGGCATACCTAAAACAATTGTCAACTCGTTGCGTAATGGTTCACATATATTTCCCCATATATTATATATATTTCAGATGCAAGTAAAGCGGAATCATAGTATGATTGAACACATTTAACTGTGTCTT